AGGGTTACAAGGCGCTAGCTAATTTGGACATTAAGCCACTGAGACAGCATCCAATAATGGCTAATCAATTTTAACTTCTACGGTGCCGTCACCCAATGTCATCGGCAAATATTTGTCCTAACACATTCGACCTGGTTAACCCCACTAGTGACGACTCCTCACTAGAATACTAGTCTCAACTTTCAACTGCAATCGGTTACTAGTAAGCATCAGATTAATTTTCGGGAGTTATTTAGTAAAGATTTGATCGGTTTACAGTTTTACCATGGATTGATATCCTTTAGTGAATGGTTGAAAAACAGGAAGTGCTGGATAGCTGTTTCTTCCCTATTTGTGACTCTTCATCAGTACAGACTGCAAGGCGAACTCGCTCAGCATTCATTCACTAAGAGGGAGTCTTGTGCCCCATGAGTTCTGTCATTTCGTCATAAACCTCTATTGTGCACCAGTGAAGGCTGTCAAACTGGTACAAAGTAACTGCCCAAGACTCCTTGATATTTAAAGCTTCTCTTACGACTGAATTTACCTCGTGATTGAACTTGAAATCAAAAAAATCCCTGCAAACTAACCAACACTTGAAAAATAATGTAAAGTAAATAAAGTATCTCCTAAGAATTTCGAAACTAAATTGTAAAAACACTAATGGTAAAAGAAGGTGTTGTTCTTCCTCTTTTTCTCTTTTACATCAAGTATGCAAGTGAGCTCATTTTTCCCGTGACTGTTACTTCTTGTTGTTCCAAAATGAATAACTGTTTATTAGAAGTCTTCAGCTGAAGACTTCTATGTGTGTAAAACTGTTTAATTTCATTTTGAAGATATAAACGTGATTTACATCTACCGGTTCTTCCTCCTAACTCTTGTGACATCGGTGGGGGGAGGGGGGGTGAGACTGAAGTAGACATTAAATCGAATTGTCTAATAATCTTGGTTTAATTCTTTCCTCTAATCTATCCTGGTCGTCTAACATTTAGTTGATTACTAGAAAGAAGTTAAAAAGGACTGTGGTTTAACTCAGTTTCTTGGATTTCATCCATTCATCTTTATTATTCCCTGTGTTTGTTCTTTTCTGGACTGCTTTAAAGAAGACTTTTTTGCATTGCAGAGAACTGTGTTAAAGCTGTTAGTAGACTGAATGGTGTGTGAGTGTGTGTTTGGAAGGCCAAAATGCTTTGATGTTGACTTTGATATAGACATTTGAACTCATGTAAGCAATTTTCAAGTGTTTTTTGTATTAGACTCTATTGAACACCCTTTGTTTTGTTCACAACTTTACTGTTGAAACACCTCAGAAAGGATTTCGAAAGACTTTACGCTAGTTTGATTATATATATATATATATATATATATATATATATATGCGAAGAATTCTACATTGCATGTAAAAATATTGTATGGAGTAGGGCCACTATTATTACTATTATTGTAACGACAGAAGACAAGGGTCAGGCAACAGATCGTTTATCGAGAAAATCAAGAGATATTTTCGTAGATTTTCATGTACATTATTATTCGTTATTATTAGCAGAGAAACAGCGTCTTCTGATTGGTTGTTTTCCTGCTGAAGGTTATTCTATCATCTCTTTGTGACCGTTTCTTTGAAGATCTGATCATATGTCTGCGGATTGTATCTGCCCACGCAAAGTCTGCTGATATTGGTTATTGAATTAGTCGTTTTGTTCTTGTTCTTTTCTCATGACCAAGATTTGGTACGTAAACATTGACGCAAATTGGTGTCTACCAATTTTGGCTAGCAGACAGCTCTCACCACATTATTATTATTGTTGTTTTAGAGGTTTCAGCGAAAACAGAAAACATTCAGAAAATCAGATTTTTTAACAGAGCTATTCTATAACATGTAGTTTTTGAGTAAAATGGTTTTTTGTGACCATATAGTTTTGAGGGTAGTTCAAAGATGCACCATGCATTGTTCGTTAGTCCTTACTACAACAAATAACATTAGTACCTAGTGTAGGATTACGTAACATTATGTGCGTTTCTGTTGGTTACATACTTCTTGTACATTGCCTGATTATTTGATCGATACGACTTAAGCTAAACTGACTGATACTAGTTGATAGTATGGCCAAGTAATCAGTGCCCACAAAAAGTTGTATAGCTCTTACTCAACAGGTGACAAACCATCAAGCAAGGGTAATTATATAGGTCAATAGGCATCAACAATATATGCATGGATAGTTAGATAGATAGTTGACCACTCCTAGTGCATTAAGCCCCGAGAAACAGGAATATTGGTCGTGAGAACTGGCATCTTCTCTTCTTCTAGAGAGAAATACCTTTACTGAAACCTCTGAAGTTTAAAGCCACCCTATGTTCCACTCGGAACTCTAAGGATTAGTGAAAAATAAAACATGTATGAGGCTGCGTCTATCTTTCCCGTGGTGTATAAAAGGAAAAATATAAGAGGTTTGAAATTGGGATCGGTCTGAGCACATTTCCAACTGATTGTACTTCCTTGCTTTGAAGTTTTTCAATGGTTTCCGTGTAAACTGTATGCGATTTTAGAAGGCTGCATGTAGGTGATTTGTTGTTGTTGATGCATTATAGGAATATCGAATAACATAGTTGCTTTTGCTTCAATTTGACACAATTTATTTTGCAGTTAAAATTATCCATGTTGGTGATGTATTGACAACTGATGACCTATCTGTCATTATTCCTCGATATATATTGATTCAGTAGTAGTTGAAAAATTGTCTTCTTATCAGCTCATTTCGGCTGCAAATGCATCAGTCTGAAGTGTACGAATTCTTAGAGGTTTTTCACTATTCGTAAGTTTGTGGAAGCATGGGACGGTGCCATATTCTTATTCTAATACTGCGTCATATAGACAGGTGAACATCGAAACTGCCACAAAGAAACAACATTCCCTGAATACACTGTCAACTGGAAAAGAGTACTAAAAGAATAATAGATGATAATTACTAAATACTTAATAGTGTATTGTAAACTATCTCAGCGACAGTCCTCTGACATAGTTTCGCGAACAAACAGCATACATTTTCTTTGATAATTTAAGTGGGAAATATTCGAGAAAAGCTTCCTCGGTTAATTTCAGTTATTATTTTTTGCTTTGTTTACTCTTATGTTATCTGCATCTCATGACATTGTATCAGTGAGCTGTGTGTGAACACTATTGATTTTAATAACGATAACTTTACGCTTGGATGATTTGTCAGTTAGGTTATCCAGATTATGGATTTTTGTAGGGATTTGGAATAATGCCAGTGTGGGTTTTGGTCACAAACGAATATCAGTTAGAGGTCGTTGAGAGCCACAAGCGAGTCTAGACCCTTAATCTAAAAGTTCCGGGTTCGATTCTTGGTAGATTCACGAATGCTTACTGTCTAAGAGTTCCAGACTTTAGGACAAAGTAACTGTTCAGTGTCGCCTCCTGATTTTCACTGATCTCCCTAACTGAATGTTAGTTAATGACGACATCTACATTGAGGTTAGGTTATCACTGTTTCAACTGATAGATTTACACGTAGTTTATTATCTATTATTATTGTTCCCTTGGGTTCCTAGTGGAACATAGGGCTTTAACTGCACGTCTTCACTTGCCACTTCTGTCTTCTGCTGTACTTTTCACCTGCATGCATGTTAGTCCATACTGTTTCAACTCCTCTTCACACGATCTCCTCCATGTCACCCTTGCACCGACGACCCACTCGCCGCTTCCCTTTCGGGGATTGCCTGACGCTCGCGCGATGTCGCCCAGCGGCCTCCTCAGCGAGTGTCCAATCCATCTCCACTTTCTCGTGCATATTTGTTGGTTGGCGATTGGTTCTTGTTTTGTTTGTTCCCTGCCATAGTTTCTTGTTGGTGATTCTTTCCAACCCGGTCATCTGATCTTCAGTATAGATGCAGCGAAGACAGTTGTTGATAAAGGTCTGGTCCGCAACAGGCTGTTGGAAATCTTCTTTGTGACTCGCCCGCCAAGTTTCTGATCCGTATAGAAGAGCTGACTGACTTGACGCTATTTGTATTGAAAATCCGACCGAATTTTGTTGTTGATGCTGGCTGAGTGACGAAGATTTCCAGATTGGTTTCAGGTTGATGAATGTGTTTCTCGCCTTCCCGATTCTGGATTTGACATCCTCATCCGTTCCGACTTCCTGTAGTTGAGACAATGCTCCCTAGATAAGTGAGTGAATGAAGTAACCTCTTTCAAATCCCTCCCGTTGATGGTGATTGGCACTGGATGTTGCTGCTGTTGTTGATGTTGGTTGGTTATTTTCATAACCCCCGTCTTGTCTATGTTCACCTGGAGTCCTGTCTTCGCCGGCTGCTTCTTCGACCAGTTTGTAGGTTTTCGCTTACAAGTCTTCGATTTTATGTGACATCAAACATCAATCATCCACGTGCGAAATCCAGGTCTTCTAGGTTCTTCACGTCGGTCCAGGATATTCCTGTCTTCTCGTTTCCCACTGTCTGACGCATAATCCAGTCCACCACAATTAGGAATATCATTGGTGATAATAAGCACCCTTGTCTGACTGACTCCTGTGTTTACTCCAAACGCCTCGCTGAGTCTTCCGTTGTGGATCACTTGACATGTTCCGTTGTCGTACAGCAGCTGTTGAATAAGGTTGATGAATATTTTGGGAACGCCTTAGTACTCGAGTAGTTTCCAAATTACTTCGCGGTCAACGCTGTCGAAGGCCTTCTCAAAGTCTATAAAGTTGAGGTAGAGGTTTGATTGATTACACGTAGTTTAAACAAATGAATTGAAATGCATATTTCTTCAGTTTTGTTCTAAAAAGGAAAGATGTAAGTGATACTTTTTGTTCTAGATTAACTGTAAGGAAGTTAGTAATGTAAGTGTGTAAAGAGACCGACCAAATTCATTTTCTGTTATACGTGTTACTGATATGATATAATATACTTTTCAGTGTTTAATTCTACTATTTCTAAATATTCTGTTATAATCAACTCTCTATCCTTTTTATCTCCGTCCCCCTCTCTGTGTTTCTTAAAAGGGCTATCGTGAACAGAATTCAATTAATCATATCATGAGTTTTCTAATTGAACAATCTAATCATTTATTTCGTATGATTGCACCAAGTTGTGAAAATGTGATAACACCATTAAGTGATTTGTCAAATGGTGCCGGTGGTGTTAAGGGTGGTGGTTATTCGTCACAAATCCCACGTGATCCACTTATAGCTGCTACAACAACTACCACTTCTACGACTGATGCCATTATCATTAATGATCATGACGATGATGAGGATGTTGATGATGGTGACAAAAAGTGCAAAGAAAGATATGAGTAAGTAATATTTTCCGTCTTTCTTTCCCTCTGTCGTTTTTCATTTATGTTGTATGCTTTTGTTACTGCTGGCATGTTTAATGCTTAAACCTCGTTATATCTATATCTGGTTGTGTGTAGTATTCACAGTCAGTTTTTCCCCCAGGGACATGTGTACTGCTCAGCAGTTCTCTCTGTCCCTTTGTGTATGGCTGTGAGACATGGTCATTGTGAAAGTGAGAGATATGTTGAAAAGACTAGCTGTCTTAGACCACAGATGTTTGTGTTCTACCTTCCATGTTAGGTGGTATAATGTGGTCAGTAATATTGAGGTTATAGTGTTAGATAAGGAGAATAAGTGGGTCGATGAGGCTGTGGGGAGCTACATGGATTAAGATGGTTAGGACACGCCTTGTTCATTCCGAGCGATAGCTTTCTTCGATGAGCCATGTAAGCCACCATAGGACCAATTTAGAAAAGAATTAGGGTTGGTCCAGCTGAAACCCGGCATCATTCCATATAGAAACTGATACAAGCACGTAGGGAGGTTTAGCTCCCCAGGATTCTAAGAACCAATAATTGGAGACTGTTGGTAGTATGGCTCAAAATTGTTGTCAGTTGGGCGGAGATACATTCACCCTTTGGGATCTCCTATATTCGTTACGTCATCGTGTTTCTCCATGTTACTATTCTTTCTACATGGAGTAGTTTTGCAAATTGAACAGGTAAACTTCTGTACAGAGTTCTTTATTAAAACTGAATCTGTCAATCAGTTAATCATGAATGATATTTTTGTTTTTCTCTCATGAAGCAAATATTTCCGTGGACAAAGTCTTCAGTGTTACCTTTTTTGTAAAGTTGGAAGCATCCAGTAACATTCGATTTTGTTACTACCCCTAGTTTTTTCCCTAATCGAACCGACAGTCTTCAAGCCTCATGGAGAGAAATTCTCTATTGTTGAATTCTTCATCAGCCTTTCCCCTTCTTTGTTTTTTTTTTGATAATTTGACAGTGAAATATTTATCATGACTTTTCAGATCGTCTTTAAGAAGGATAAGTAGGTGTCACTCACTTATTAGCCCTCTGTTGTCTCTGAAGGTTATTCATCTCGTCATCTGAAACTTTCTCTTTATTGTCCATGTTGTTGTTGTTGTTGCCTAATATTTATGTATTTATTTTTATTGTATGAATTCAAACAGAAAACGTGCATAATCCACCTTTAATATCGTTACCTTTTACTCGAAGCTTAAAACAAACACGTCTAGTTTATCAGCATATATATATATATCTTGGCATATATTATTATCTATATATTTTTTTATTTCCTTCACGTTCCCCAGTGGAACATAGGGCTTCAAGCTAATGGCTTGAAGTTTCTGTAGCAGTGTGTGTTTTACAGGATGGGGTTACCTAGCCTCCTGCTCAACCTTTCCTCTTTACCAGCATTATTTCTCGTTTAGCGAGGTAAAGGAGTGTGTCGGTCGGCGATCGAACCCTGGACCATGTGCATGGTCGGCGAGTGTCCTAACCGCTGTGCCACCGACGCATTATCTATATACATAAATATATATATACTCGTGTGATGTGATATCGCTTTGGTTACGTTTGTAAGTTAAGCAATACTTGAACAGCTGAAGTGTTGATTGATTTTCACTTGAAGAAGTCACAAAATCAGTTCTTTTAGTGTAATTGAAACATTTCACAACACAAAACTACTTCTAAGGAATTTTGAGTTTCTCTTCACATAACACGTAAACGAAATACGAATTACTATCCTTTAGTTTCAGTGCTATTTAGCCTACAGTTTTATGGAGATGTATGAGTTTTGTGCATAATTTTGGCAGTCATCTATTCTTTATTATACTATTGATCTATGCAAATGCGGTTTTGCTACTTCAACTGATTATTGTTCCCTTGGTTTCCGAATGGAGTGGAGCGCTTCACAATACAAACCTGCGTTTCACTCGGTTCTATGCAGTCTTTTCTATCCGGAGTGTTTCTTGATCGTCTATAAGCTGTCATTTCCTCCTTTTCACTCGATCTTCGACCATGTCACTCGTCGTTTCCCATTCGGGTTGCACTCGACTGCCTGGACTGTATTGTAGTCGTAATACCAATTGACAAATTGATCTACTGTACAGTAGTGCTAGGCTTTCATACTGTCTGTGTGTTTCTGTCTGTCTTAACGGAATTCATTTAAAGTGATAGTAAATCACACATCATTACTACTGATGTTCAGTTCTTGATATTTGCACTAGCTTTTCGATAATGAACAATATAGTTATGTATACTGTTACAGGCAAACTGGGCATTGATCTATTGAGGTCACAATCACTGTTCTAAGAAGTTTTAGATACCTGCTTAGTCTACTTTGAAGTGTTTCGTTTCAACAGTGTTAGACAAAATTCAGTGAAATAGTTGGAGAATATTCACAGGGATACTGAAGTGTGATAACCTTTGGTTATTGAAATTTCCTCCATTTTCAGTGGTCTTTATGTGATTGTTTTTTTGTCTTGAATTTCATGTTTTTTCTTTTCTTTTTTGATGTGAGACTATGGGGATATTTGGCAAGTCTAACCATGGCTTTATGCACATACATATATAAGCCATCGATGCTCGCATAGGGTGTTCTCCACGAGGGACAGATGCCTGTCCAGGTGTTCGGATTGCTTCCGTGTATTGTATGTGATTAAAATTTATAGCTTTTTAGATTCTTTCAGGCACGTATCATATTGTCTATTCTTCTTTCAGCTATCACCCTTTATTTGTTTCTTCATTTCTTTGCATTCGAAGTGGAACATAAAACTTCAGACTGTAATCTTTGGATTTTTAGTCTCAGTGTTGTATAGTTTTCACGCGAGGTCAGGTTGTTCACTTCAAACCCCTAAACCTTGCTTCCTTTTCGGCTGTTACTACTGACCATTTTTGGTTTAATAGTAAGTTGACTTGGAATCATACCACTGTGATTGGTATGCGTCCTTGTCGAGTACTCTTGTCCTGAATCACCGATTCACCAATTAATCTGTAATCAGTCTTATTTTAAAACCTTCTATCGGTAGACACTAAATACAGCACCACATTTTTCTGTGGATTTTAAGCTTTTTTTTCTGCACTAAGACTGCGCACATTCTCCAAATTCGTTAATCTCTAAATTTTGATCTGAGAGAATGTGTATATTGTGTGTGTGTGAAAGGAGGTGGAAAGGGTACTCTCGTGTGTCGAGTATGCATTCCATAAACCCCCTTTTCTAATTTATTTTCTAATCGTCAGATTTCAAGAGAAGTAGATGCAGGCATCCTGTTTAGTAGGTATACTAAAAGTAGTAGTTGTAATATCATTTACTTTACAACAAAACAGTCTGTAATTTGTATTACTTTTATACACTAAAATGTGTATATACATATACAATCAGTAGCCTGTTCAAGTAGAATCATCATAATTATTATTCCATTATATATATTTTACACATGCAGTGTTGAGGATTATTCGATTCCATGGGCTGATACCATTTTAATTTATTAATGAGTGAAATAATATTTTTTTTCTTCTCTGGCCTTTCATAAACTATAAAACTTGATGATTCATCAGTTTTTTTGTAGTAGTCTCCATGTGTGTGTGTGTGCATATCTGCACCATTCATGCGAAGGAGATACTACGCTTTCGTATTCTACCATTATTATTTATTATTATTATTCGTTGTTGATGTTAATCTTTATGTGGGCCGTTAGTTAGTCGATTAGTAATTCCTTTCATGCATTACTCTTTTCTTATTGATGTTAGATATTAATTTTTATTTAGCGAACTGTATTCACTCTCACCTCTCTCTCTCTCTCTCCCTATCCTGCATTCATCGCCCCTTATTATGCGTTAGTGTGAATTAACTGGGCAAATCATAGATAGGGTATATTAATATAATATTGTGTAGGATTTTAGGTGTGCGTGTGCCAATTGTTTTCTATCCATATGATGATTGATGGTGGAGTGTGTTGTAGGCGCGAAGAGCAGCTAGCTGTAAGGAATAGAGGTAAACAAAGTTGGTGTTTGTCGATCGAATACTGCGATGTACAACATCATCTATTTAATTTTCAGAATGTGGTTGTGTAACAACAGAAGATAAGGGCCAGGCAACAGATCGTTTATTTTCTATAGTTTGGTTTGTAAGGGTTTGTTATGTTTTTACGAGTTAGTCACGGATTGATAGCAGTTAGAGAACCATTGAAAACCAGGGAGTAGTGGATAGCTGATGTTTCATCCTAATTTGGGAATCATCAGCAGTACGCACCCACTGGGATTCGAACTTAGGACTTTCCAGTACTCCCTGGTTTTCAATGGTTCTCTAACTGATATCAATCCGTGATCAACTCGTAAAAGTTCGTTTATTATTATTTTTTAAAATTATTTTTGATTGCAGCTTGATTCCACACTGTATTTTTGGTACAAGTATGGGATTTTCAGCATGGATATCGCTAGCCCGAATTTTGCAGGCCGACCATAGATAGCAGGTGTGCGTCGCCAGTGGATGGAACCTAGGACCATGTGCATGGTCGGCGAGAGTCCTAACCAGTGTATCACCGACGCACAGGAAATGAACACGTATTTATATATTTTCATGTACATTATTATAGGTTATTCAAGCAAACAAACACAGTCTTCTGATTGGTTGCTTCTTACAGAAAGTTGACCTTGCATCTCTTTGTGACTGTTTCTCGAATGTCAGGTCATCTATATGTTAACTGTATCTGCCTACGCTGCTGTGATTGGTTGTTGAATCAGTCTTGACCAATATTTACGACATAAACATTGGCGTAAGTAATTGTCTACCAATTTGGCTAGCAGCCTGCTCTCACCACAGTCGGTTGGGGTTAGTTAATTCGACGATATTGTATGGTGGTGCCGTTTCTGTCCAGTTGATGGTGGATATTAGTAGGATTTAAGTTCTTATTGTTATTCTGACTTAATGAATATTTCCAGTGTCTTAATTGATTAATGTTTCGCATCATGCAAATTTAAAAAGACTGATT